AACGCTGATCTCATACGTCATCCGCCCGGAGCTGCTTCCGTGTATAACTGTTGCCGCAAGCTACATTAAAGTGATTATTACGTTTTGAATATGGATATTTTTCTTACAAAAACGCATCGATTCGCTACAGGAGGCATTTGTTCTCCCCACGGAGCCGCGTCGAGACACTTTTTTTATGGATGGGCGCTTTTTATTTAACTTCTTTTGAACTGATGCATGCAACACCTGCTGAGTGGCATTAAACAGCTTGAAAGATCAAAGACGATTGTTAATATAACTCCAACTGGATTTGTCTGAAAGAAGAAAGTCATATACACCTAGGATGACTTGAGGGTGAATAATTTATAGGCAAATTTTCAATTTTGGGTAAACTAACCCTTTAATGCCCTTTAAAAACCCTTTTAAAGATTTTTTAAAAATATTATAATAAAAAAAAGTCTAGAAGTCAGAATTATAATTGTATAATAAATAAAAAGAAAACAAATAGATAGAAGGCAAAAAGATTAGAGAAGCAAGTAAGTCATGTGCATGATTTTCAGTCTACTATTTCTCACAACCCCTTGAACAGTGGAATAGGATCAATTTGATGGAGATCAAATTTATCAGTTGTAAACAGTAGCAAAGTATGAATGTATGTCTTCGATGAATTTTAGGATAATGAAATTTGCTAGATGCAAATGCTAATATGCAAACACAAGCATTGTGCACTGAAGTTACAATGCAATATGACATGTCCAAAATCAGAGGCTCTATCCATTAAAGGCTGCATTCCAAGACCGAATGCGTCACAATGGCACGACGAAGGTTGTCCATTTCAAACACTCCTTCAAACGCAGCCTCAAAATGCATCCTTCGTTTGCCAGGCCATAAAGGATACAACAAATGGATCCTTTGTGGATCAAACAATCACAAAATTCATTGTGCGCCAGTGACAACAGGATTTTTTTTGAGAGAAAATGCTGAAATACAGTTTTAAGTAAAAGTACAGGGTTTCAACTTACTTGAATATTTAACAATACAAATTGTTAAGAAAACACTTTAAAGGGGTGGTTCACTGTTTTTTTTCTAGGCTTGATTGTGTTTATGGGGTGCAGTCTAACATGTGTTAATGCTTAGTTAAAAAAAAATGCATAATTTTTCACATAATTTACCTTTATTCAACACCGCTTGCAATATCACAAAGAGTGAAAAATTTAAGGGGGTCTGAATACTTTCCGTACCCACTGTATGTTTTTTGTTTGTTGTTGTCGCATACTTTTAGATACGCTGTTATTTGTAAATGCTACTGCTTATGTTAGCTTTTAATATACGGTTTTATCCTGATTAAAGCTTTAATACAGTACGGCAACTGCACGCACGTCCATGTTTAACGCTTCTCATAGCTATGTGAAAATAAGTGTACAATTGGAACAGTTCATTGTTAGAGCTCAGCTGAATGAGGGCGAGAGAGAGAGAGAGAGATGCAGAGCGTGTGCAGAGCAGGGGGACGCGAGGAACAGTATTAAAAGGTTAGTTCACCCACAAACGAAAATTAGCTTGTGTTTTACTTAACCTCGAGGCATCCTAGGTGTATATGACTTTCTTCTTTCAGACAAATCCAGTCGAAGTTATATAAAAAATTGTCCCGGCTATTCCAAGCTCTATCATTGCAGTCAGCGGGTGTTGCAGTTGAACAGTCCACAAGTCGTCAAATAAAGCGAGCGCATTCATAATAAAACATGCCTCACACGGCGCCAGGTAAGAAAAATATCCATATTCAAACGTAATAAACACTTTTCTCTCACTTCAGTTATCTGTCATAGGCAGCACGTATGCTCAGCACGCACGCCTCTGAGGTATGCTAGTCTCGCGAGTCTGTTTATAGGAGCAAAGGAAGCAAAGTTTCCTTACTTAAGCAAAGGAAAACCAGTCTCTTCTTGGTTTATATTGAAATCCTCCGACATTTTTCTTTTGCAAATCCTCGGTTTGTACTGCTAATTCGTGACCGGCGTTTTGTTTTGTTCTCTCTCCGCATTCTTCACTAATCACGCAACGCCGCGCGTCTTTCGTCATCCGCCGGAACTGCTTCAGTGTATGACAGTCAGCGGAAGTGAGAGAAAAGTGTTTATTACGTTTGAAATATGGATATTTTTCTTACAAAAACATGGATTCGCTACAGGAGGCCTTTATTCACCCCTCAGAGCCGTCTGCGGCATGTTTTTATTATGGATGCGGCGATGCGCGTGCTTTATTTAACGACTTGTGGACTGTTCAACTGCAACACCCGCTGACTGCAATGATAGGGCTTGGGATAGCCAGGACAATTTTTTATATAACTCTGACTGGATTCGTCTGAAAGAAGAAAGTCATATACACCTCGGATGCCTCGAGGGTGAGTAAAACACAAGCTGATTTTCATTTTTGGGTGAACTAACCCTTTAAGAACCGCTGCTTTAGAACATTGATTTTGAAACTTGTGAATCCATTAGAATCGTTAGAAGACAGAATTGCGATTCATATATGAATAGATTTTTACATGCACCTCTAGTTTTCTCTTTCTCAGAAGATGGTCACATCCGAGTCAAGTCGGAGACCAGAAGAGGGTCTCTTCAAGTCAAGTCCAAGACCAGAAGAGAGTCACGCCCAAGTCAAGTCCGAGACAAGAAGAGGGTCTCTTCAAGTCAAGTCCAAGACCAGAAGAGAGTCATGCCCAAGTAAAGTCCGAGACAAGAAGAGGGTCACTTTGAGTCAAGTTCAAGACCAGAAGAGGGCTGCGTTCGAGTCAAGTTTGAGACCAGAAGAGGGCTGTGTTCGAGTCAAGTTTGAGACCAGAAGAGGGTCACTTTGAGTCAAGTCCGAGACTAGAAGAGGGTAAAGTCTGAGTCAAGTTTGAGACTAGAAGAGGGCTGCGTTCAAGTGAAGTTTGAGACCAGAAGAGGGTCACTTTGAGTCAAGTCCGAGACTAGAAGAGGGTAAAGTCTGAGTCAAGTTTGAGACTAGAAGAGGGCTGCGTTCAAGTGAAGTTTGAGACCAGAAGAGGGTCACGCCCAAGTCAAATCTGAGACCAGAAGAGGGTCAGGTCTGAGACCAGAAGAAGGCTGCATCTGAGTTAAGTTTGAGACCAGAAGAGGGTCACGCCCAAGTCAAATCTGAGACCAGAAGAGGGTCAGGTCTGAGACCAGAAGAAGGCTGCATCTGAGTTAAGTTTGAGACCAGAAGAGGGTCGCTTCAAGTCAAGTCCAAGACCAAAGGAAGGTCATGTCTGAGTCAAGTCAGAGTCCAGTAGAGGGTCGAGTCCGAGTCAAGTTTGAGACCATAAGAGGATCGAGACCGAGATCAGAAGAGGGTCGCGTCTGAGTCAAGTATAAGACCATAAATGGTCTCATCTGAGTCAAGTCAGAGACTTGAGGGTTAAGTCCAAATGCTGAGCTCATGACAAGACCAAGACAATGAAAATATGGTCTTAAACGCTGGAGTTCGGTCTTGAGTACTACAATCTCTATACTACTCTATAATACTATATTGCTAATCTTGGGACCTAACAACACCCTTTTGCCATGACAATATAAAAATATATTAGGATAGGATTACAGAGCACATGGTAGAATTTCAAGAAAAGTAAATACTGCTGGTCTTAAACTTGAGACCAGTCCCGCCATTGTTAAGTCAGTGTTGCATCCCCATTTCCCTGGAAACAAAATCTCCTTCGCCCACTTAACCTTGACTCCAAGAAAAGACGAGAAACAGATCCAAACTGCACAGTGACATGAAGCACGCTGTAAGCAGCTGTTTCACTGTCTAATCAGTTGGCACTTCCTGGAGCCATTTTTGCTATTAGTTTTAAGTATGATTACAGTAATTTTGGTAGATGTATGACGACTCTGCAATTAATTCTAAGGAGTCTCGTTTGAATTAAATATCCACTTCAGTTCCCTAAAGCAGTAGGTTATTATGTCTATGCAATCTTAAGAACACTATACACTATACTGACAGACTCACCTCTAACTTCAATGGATTCAAGTAAATATTTTTATGCATTTAATTTACAATTAATTGATTGTAAAAGTTTAAAACATAATACCAAATGTGTTAATATTTTGTTACATTTTTCATATTGCATCTCTTAAATGTATCTGTAATTTTAACAATTTTTCTAAGGGATTAGGACCTTATGATCTCCATTTAACGATCTTTTTTTCTTTTAACACTTTAGTTTAACCGCGGAGTTCATGTTTTTGATGTTACAACCCTCCTGTTCATTGTGAATATATATTGAAAATATTTAATATAAATTCTGTGACCACTTCAGTTCCCTAAAGCAGTAGGTTATTATGTCTATGCAATCTTAAGAACACTATACACTATACTGACAGACTCACCTCTAACTTCAATGGATTCAAGTAAATATTTTTATGCATTTAATTTACAATTAATTGATTGTAAAAGTTTAAAACATAATACCAAATGTGTTAATATTTTGTTACATTTTTCATATTGCATCTCTTAAATGTATCTGTAATTTTAACCATTTTTCTAAGGGATTAGGACCTTATGATCTCCATTTAACGATCTTTTTTTCTTTTAACACTTTAGTTTAACCTCGGAGTTCATGTTTTTGATGTTACAACCCTCCTGTTCATTGTGAATATATATTGAAACTATTTAATATAAATTCTGTGATACACAAACATTTGTGGACAAATATCCCAGCTCTCATTACTCATCGTTCACATTCACAATGAAAATATGTTCTTAAACTCCGGAGTTCAATCTTGAGTACATTTAATTATACCCATCTAAATTATGCTTTAAAGAAAAAAATAAAATAAAATCCGGGCCACATGCAGTTTTATACCACTCTCTTGTGGAAATAATGAACATTTGAAGCTTGTAAGACAAAGAAAGAAAAACTAATTGATAATATTGTTCAGGAAGTCAATGGAAGCACATGCGTCTTATGGCCAAGATTTATTTGAAGCCAAAAGAAGAAGAAAAAAAAAAGGGTTGTGGGTTACAGTATACTTTTAAAACATCTTTTATGACAGACAAAAAAAAAAAAAAGACATCAAGATTGTGTATACCGAATAAAAGTTCTACTTTAAAACATAAAAATACAATAAAACGTAAGTTTCATTTGTAGAACATTATGGCAATTAACATCTGTTCATCTATATAAACCACATTTTAACACCAGATGATCAAATGTCCTTGGTTAAGAGTTCACAGCTCCACATACATTGGGTCATTTTCAGAATTTCAGCCAATAAACATTACAAGCACAATCTCTATTATTATAGCTCAAAGGAAAACATGTTTTTTCCCCTTCACTTTACTGCCAAACGTTTTCTAAGAGGACTTGTGTTTTAGAACTGTGGTAGGCTTGTGTGATGGTACAGAGTTCAGTTTAGAAAATGCGAGTGGCGACTCACAAATCTTTGAAGATAATGGGGATGGAACCATAACTTTGTACAACCTTCAAGTTTAAAATGTCTTCTCGGGGGGTGTCCAAGAGCAACAGCTTTAATGGTACTGAATGTGTATCTTGTCAATCAGTCTATTATCTGCAGATCTTTGGGGAGCTGCTGTCTCTCTCTCAGCTCGGCTGTGGTTACTCCATGCTCTCAGGGTCTGCCTGGGCCATATACGCATCCAGCTCGGCATCCAGATGGCCCTTGGTCTTGGACATGTAAGCATCAAGCTGGTTGTCCAACTGCTCACGTGTGACGATGGGACGGCCTGCTCCTCGGCCTCTGCCGCGTCCACGACCCCTTCCTGCAAACCCTCCACGACCTCTCAGACCCCCGCGGCCTAAGAGAGACAATCATAGACTTTAATGTTGAGAGACAAACATTTAAGCATGCAAGAACAAAACAGAAAACGCTAACTGGCAGAAGACTGCATTTAACTTTTTTTTTTTTTTAATGTAGTACACGATGTAACTACAGAAGAGTCTAGTTTTAAATAGGAAAAATATAGAAACTCTTTGGTCATTTTTGAGCGAGATGCTAACGGTCTAATCAGATTCAATGATCTATGCTAAGCTACAGCTAAAAGTGCTACCGCCAGACCCGGAGATTGGCTGAATGGATTCGAAAACAGTAAAACTCAACTGTTTAACTCTAGAGGAGCTGGAAAATGAGCCTATTTTCAAAAATAGTGGTGTGTTCCTTTAAAGAACAAGCTCTGGAATATGTACACTACTGGTTAAAATTTTAATTGTAATTCTGTAAATTCAGCATTTTGCAACCAAATGTACGGAGACGCATCCGTAAGCAGATTTGCATCCATCTATATCATCTTTGTGCATGTTCCTCTCTTACCTGTTTGTGCTGCAGGGCAACCTGCACAGAGGGCCTGTTCTCCATCTGCTGAGCGAGCCGGCGGTTCCTCGCACTGGCCATGTGCTGCTGCTGCATGGTCGCCCGGATGCTACTCGCTGTCGGCTGCTTGTTCTTCAGCATGTTTGTGAAGCTTGTGGGACACAACAGAAGGAGGAGGGTAGAGAGAGAGAGAGAGAGACAGAGGAGGGAAAGGGGGATACGAGGAAAGGAGGGTTCCAAATCAAATCATTTCACACAGCATGGACGCAGCTACAGCGGATCCTGTAGCAATCTAGAGAATGCCCTTTTTAGACCACAGCTGCTTTCATTTACTCTCTCTCTCGATTACATGTGAAGACACCCCAACATATTTGCTTTAAACTGAACGTCTACGATGTGGTTTAAAGAGAAGACATAGATAGAGAAGAGGCAGGGAGATTTCTGAGTGATTGCCACTTACAGGCCGCCATCAACCGACTGTAATGTCATCAGTCCGAGACACCACGCGGTGAGTCGACCCAGGGCTAGAGGGGTGTCTGGCAACCCAGCCACTTACAACCAAGACCGTGACCTGGCACGCTGTTTTGTGAGACGCCTCTGATGAAAAGAAAGGGAGGGAGTTGGGGGGGGACAGGTCACGTCTAGGTACGGACTGAGCACCTTATTCTGTAGACAGCCAGAGAGAAAGTGAGAAACGCAGAGGAGGAATGTCACCTTTTTTGTGTATAATTAGACATGTAGAATATTTCTTAACAGCGTATTATGAACGCAAAAAGGGTCAAATTTAATTAATGACATACTTCAATAGTACACTATCATTCAAATTTGGGGATTTTTTAAAATAAGTCTCTTATGGCCACCATGGCTGTATCAAAAATACAGTATCTTCATTAATATATTGAAATATTATTACAATATATGTTCCATTTGAATATTTATTTTAAAATGTAATTTATTCCTGTGATCAGAGCTGAATTTTCAGCATCATTACTCCAGTCTTCAGTGTTACCCGATCCTTCAGAAATCATTCTGATATACTGATTTGCTGCTCAAGAAATATTAATCATCAATGATGAAAACAGTTGTGACACTTAATTCTGTGTTAATACTTTATGGATTTTTTTGATCAATGTAAAATTCAAAAGAACAAACTTTATTTTGAAATAAAACATTTTTGAAACATTACAATTGTCTTTTCTGTCACTTTTGATCAATTTAATGTGCCCTTGCTGAGAAAAAACAACAACAATACAATTTTAAACAGTAGTGTACATATTCAATAGCTTTTTGCAACCACTTGTACTGTAAACGCATCCGTCAGCTGACTCGCAGCTCCGTCTATATCACCTCAATGTGTCATGTTAGGTCATCTTTGTGCATGCCATTCCCTCTCTTACCTGTTTGTGCTGCAGGGCAGCCTGCACAGAGGGCCTGTTCTCCATCTGCTGAGCAAGCCGGCGGTTCCTCGCACTGGCCATGTGCTGCTGCTGCATGGTCGCCCGGATGTTACTCACTGTCGGCTGCTTGTTCTTCAGCATGTTTGTGAAGCTTGTGGGACACAACAGAAGAAGGAGGGTAGAGAGAGAGAGAGACACACAGAGGAGGGAAAGGGAGATACGAGGAAAGGAGGGTTCCATATCAAATAATTTCACACAGCATGGATGCAGCTACAGCGGATCCTGTAGCAATCTAGAGAATGCCCTTTTTAGACCACAGCTGCTTTCATTTACTCTCTCTCTCCATTGCGTGTGGAGACACCCCAACATATTTGGCTTAAACTGAATGCCTACGATGTGGTTTCAGCGGTAAAAGAGAAGACAGAGATAGAAAAGAGGTCGATTTCTGAGTGATTGCCACTTACAGGCCGCCATCAACCGACTGTAATGTCATCAGTCCGAGACACCACGCGGTGAGTCGACCCAGGGCTAGAGGGGTGTCTGGCAACCCAGCCACTTACAACCAAGACCGTGACCTGGCACGCTGTTTTGTGAGACGCCTCTGATGAAAAGAAAGGGAGGGAGTTGGGGGGGGACAGGTCACGTCTAGGTACGGACTGAGCACCTTATTCTGTAGACAGCCAGAGAGAAAGTGAGAAACGCAGAGGAGGAGCAGAAAAACTCTTCTGGGAGAGAGAGAGAGAGAGAGAGAGAGAGAGAGAGAGTGTTTTTGTGTGAGAGAGGGCAAGAAATACAGATGGTACACACACCATCCTGCATTATCATCTCATTCCCATGGCTGAGGATGCTCTTCTGCAGTGCAGTCGGCTTACCTCGCCCTTACCCTCTCACCTCCGGGTGTGCGCCGCTTACGCAAGAGACACCTCGCCAAACACGGCACGCTATCAGATCTTTTAATATCGACTCAAGTAATCGCCGTCCTGTTGGGTAAGCGGCGCACACCGTGCGGGCAGTCTAGCATCCACGTCAGGTCTGATGTCTCCCCCTCAATGACCTCCATAGTACACGTGTCTTGAGACTTGCTGCCTTAGTTATCTCTGTATGCTTTTCCCCCTGGCCTTGAGATAATGCTGTCAGGATGCGTAGCGCCTCACCGCTGATTCAGGGACACCTTGGTGGTGCTTTTCAGCACGACTTTTTGAGAAGAAGGGGCGCTCATGTTTCTTCAGACTTGCAGGGATCTCTCCTGTAAGAGAGAAACGGCAGAATATAGATGGTAGGTATCTATACTGCATGAAATGAAAGTGAAAGTCTCACAGACAGAAACAAGGAAGTCAATGGAGAAATCTGATGTTAGAAAAGGTAATACACTAGCTGGATTTTAAAATCTCATGAGCTGACGACCTAACTCAGGGATTTCAATCTTGTACATGCCTCGGGCCCCCAAACATGAAGCTTCTTAAAGCAAGGGACATCCCTCCTAATATTCTGTGTCCAAAATATTAGTCAGAAATTGGTTTCTATTAAGTGACAGCTTTCCCCTACTTTAGTACTGTAAGATTTATTTACACGTTTAATTATTTTCTAAAGAGATTATCTTTTTTTTTTGTTTGTTTATTGTAATCTAATTTAATTAAACTGCGGTAGGTATCTATACTGCATGAAATGAAAGTGAAAGTCTCACAGACAGAAACAAGGAAGTCAATGGAGAAATCTGATGTTAGAAAAGGTAATACACTAGCTGGATTTTAAAATCTCATGAGCTGACGACCTAACTCAGGGATTTCAATCTTGTACATGCCTCGGGCCCCCAAACATGAAGCTTCTTAAAGCAAGGGACATCCCTCCTAATATTCTGTGTCCAAAATATTAGTCAGAAAATGGTTTCTATTAAGTGACAGCTTTTCCCCTACTTTAGTACTGTAAGATTTATTTACACGTTTAATTATTTTCTAAAGAGATTATCTTTTTTTTTTTATTGTAATCTAATTTAATTCAACTGCTTTTTTTTACGGTTTCTCTAAACTTTTCCACGTAATTCCTAGAACTCCCTTGTGATCCCGTTTAATACACTTCTTTTTAATTCTATTTTTTTACTTAAAACCTCATTTAAATCTTTATTTTTTATTATTATTTTCTACATTTCTTACCCAGTTTTCCTCCAACCCTCTAATTTTCTCCGATCATTTAGAATTAATCTGAACCAATCTTAAATATTAGTTAGAATAATTTACTTTCTACATTTTTCCCCACAGACTTCCCACAAGAATCCCCTTGATGCCCATTCATTTTAAACTTCTATATTCATTTTTTATCCATTTCTTTATTTATTCAGATAGATTTTGTATTTAAATGTCATTTAGATTGTTCTACATTTGTTTTGTTTTTTACAGATTTTCTCTAAACGACTCCCTAGATGCCTATTTATTGATAAACTTGATTTATTTTGACCTAGTTTGTATTTATTTAAATAGATTTTTATTTAAACCTCATTTAAATTTTTTTATTTCTACACGTTACAAGTACCAAAGACTACAGAATACGCTTAAAGGGACTTTGCTAGTACGCAGTGATGCCCAAAAATGCTCAGTAGGCTTGAAAACATTATGTTATTCATACCAGGTGTTAACATAATGGAAAACCAACGAGATGAACCGGTCTCGGCTAGCAAATGTATCTATGTAACGTTAACTCAGTCTGACTGTTCGCCACTCGCTCGTGTTTACATATAACCAATCCAATATTATATTTGTTGAAGTGTGAGACATACTGAAGAACCCTTACCTTTTCTCTGAAAGACTCGTGTAGCTGTTAGCTGTGTAGCTTTAGCGCGACTCGACAAAACTCACACTCCAAACTTCTCTACTTGACGCCCGAGAACTGTACAACTACCGCCCCTCTTCCAAATATATTTAAGAACTTAAAAACAAAGCTATATCCCACAAAATTGGCTAAAAACACCAATCTACTTCTGCTCCACAGCTCTGTCGGCCTCTCTCCCCTCATTCATCACAAAATGGTGCTAACGACTTGCGAGAGCTAGGAAAATGGAGCGCTACTTACTGCGTCAGATCTCGCGAGATTTCCGCATGAACGGCTGTGTGCCAAATAGCGTACTACCATACTAGGACTAGGGTTTGTGCGTGAACGTTGTGCACCAAGATTTTTCTTAAAATAAAAAAAAGGAGAACGGTACATTTTAAGGTGCTCTGAGCAGGTTCAAACCATTTTAAATTGCATTTTAGACATTATCATATATATATATATATATATATACATATACCTATAGTCTTACAGTCATGCAGTCCGGTGCGGTGAGATAAAATAATTTAAAGAATTTAAAATTACAAATATTGCATGCAACAGCTCAGTTCATATCAGGTCATAAACTTGTATAAAACATGAATTATTTAATTTTATTTCATTTTATATTAGGGGAGAGTGGGGTGATTTGAGCCTGTGGGAAAGTTGAGGCACCCCTTGTTCCTAGATAACCTTAAACATAACTGCTGATATGAAAACCAAATACCTGAAGATTTTCCCCTTTCACCCACCCTGTGATGCAGAGAGGCCTGTGGAATAGTTGCTAGCTAAATTTAGGTTCATAAAACTTTTTTTCCCCTGTTCAGAGTGATTTTTGTATGTTCAAGGACTCATGCTTCTTGTGTCTGAACAATTCCAGACACTTCTGAAAAATATCACACATGTGTTTGAGCTTTAGGAGGTTATAATATGAGGCTATAATGTTAGCATGCATGATGTTAGCTCTAAACTGCTGGATGATACATTGTTTTTATATATATATATATATTTTACAGTTTATTTTCTACACTGAGTGTCAGCACTCACTATTTCTACGGTCTGCATTATGCATACTGTTCACAGTATACATCATTACATATTTTCACATGCTAGTTTCACACTCAGTGTATACTGCGTCGTAGATAGGATGCAGTACACTAGTATTACTACTGTATTCAAACACAGCCGTGTGGAGCGGGGTAATTTGAGCCAGTGGCTTACCCCTTCTTATGATTATGAAGTATTATTTTACTGTAATTCTACATTATATTTCATTCATTTGAGACCAAACATGTTTGATCTTGTTCTTTGTTTTGCACTTTTGTTTTGACATTTTTAAATAGGCCGTGTTTATGAAAATTGGCCATTGAAGTTTTATGAAACTGTATTTCACTGCATCATTTAATGTTGAGTACTATTAGCCCATTTCTGTAAGGTCAGTTGCAGTGTATTTTTATTTTATTCTTCAATTTAACTTTATCTTGTTATAATAATTTAAAAAATACCTTTAAAGTTGTGAACTGTATCTTTAAATAAAACTTTTAAGAAGTCATCTATCCATCCATTCTATTATCCAAACCTCTTCGTCCATATTAGGGTCGTAGGGAGCTGGATCGTAACCCAGCGTCTTGAGCCACAGGTCGAGAAAAACCCTGGATGGATGGCCAGTCCATCCCAAGGCTTACACACAGATTTTAAGAAGTCATTTTTATTGAATTTCTCTTCTTTTGATATAGCATGAGGTGAAAATGTTCAGTTTAACTTCAGCATAATCAGTGGCACAGTATAGCTCCATGTGGCTGAACATGTGCTCGCTTTAAACATGGCGTAAGTAAATACAGGCTCACCTTACCCTATTATATATTATATTATATTATTTTTTTTTAATAAAAGTGTAATATTCCACGGACCCACAAATATGATTCTCATGCAAGGATCCTTACTTTGAAATTTAAAAGACAGCTATATATTTTCATGCATAAATCCCAAATCTATACTTTGAAAAATTAACATTATAATTCTGTTGAAAATATTTAGTTACATTATCATGTTATTTCCTCACAAATGTACTATTTGATGCATTGTTTGTTGGTTTTAATCTTTTATTATTTATTTTCATTCATTTATTCAATTCTTTTTATTATTCATTTATTTTAATGTAACATTTCTACATTGTTTTTCTTTTTTTTTTTACAGTTTATTGTCAGCACTCACTATTTCTACGGTCTGCATTATGCATACTGTTCACAGTATACATCATTACATATTTTCACATGCTAGTTTCCAGTGCTGGGGGTAAAATATTACAAGTAACGCGAGTTACGTAATCAGATTACTTTTTTCAAGTAACTAGTAAAGTAACGCATTACTTTTTCATTTACAAGAGAATATCTGAGTTACTTTTTCAAATAAGTAACGCAAGTTACTTTTTTCCCCAATGTATTGATTGACAGCTCTGCTGTCCTCATGTTGAGAGAAATCAGAAGTTACTGTAGATCTAAAATAAATATGAATATGCATTAATTCATCTCACTCACACAAAACAAACACACAGGTTCAGTATTCCTCAAAATGAATAAAAATAATGCAACTCAGAATATGACGCAATAATTAAATGTTAAACAACACAAATATGCTTTATGTATTTAATCCCATTCTATTAACCAATGTCTTTGCTTCTGACCTTCGATGATCCAGTTCTGTTTGTTTTTTTTTTTTGGCCAAGTATGGTGACCCATACTCGGAATTAGTGCTCTGCATTTACCCATCCAAAGTGCACACACACAGCAGTGAACACACACACACCGTGAACACACACCCGGAGCAGTGGGCAGCCATTTATGCTGCGGCCCCCGGGGAGCAGTTGGGGGTTCAGTGCCTTGCTCAAGGGCACCTCAGTCGTGGTATTGAAGGTCGGAGAGAGCGCTGTACTTTGGGTTATGAGTCCGAGTCTCTAACCATTAGGCCACGACTTCCCCACAGCCGTACTAATAACCACAAATTACTCTAGACAACTTTTTTATTGCTGAAGTGTGTTGAATGTCTTCTTCTGCATTCTACTGTACGGACGTAAATGTACTTTCCCTTCAGCCCGAGGCTGATTCATTTCACTTCTGGTGTGAAAGGCTTTTATATTTGCCAAAAATATAACTTTTTTATTTTAAAAACAAACAAGCAAGCCCTGT